AAGAACAAGCGTGTTCTAATGGAGAGCATCCACAAATCGAAGGCTGAGAAGGCAAGAGAGAAGACTCTCTCTGACCAATTCGAAGCTAAGCGTGCAAAGAATAAGGCTAGCAGGGAGAGAAAGATGGCTAGAAGGGAGGAGCGTCTTGCCCAGGTGGGATAGTTTATAACTAAACTTGGATGGAATTTCAGTTTTTAGCTAATTAAGAATAAAAGATGCTAGGATGCCCCACTATTCTTTCCATTTGAGAATGACTCAATTTCTGTTGCTGCCGAGCCTCCTAGGTTCAGATTGACCTTTTGTTATCCTCTTTCATGAAGTGTATTAAACTAGCTAAGAAGGTAACTAAGGGTAACTTTTGATGATATGATCCTTCCTTGGGATGACCCTGAGGCTCTCTCAAGTTGGATCTATCTTTTGTCCCTTGAAGACCTCCCTCTCTCTTGAGATATATGCCTTATATTACCACCATTTCCCTTTCCTTTACCCAGGGATGACACGGTCTCCAACCTGGAAGGCATTGCCAACTTATAAATTCACTGTTGATAAATTTTCCAGGGTGGAATAAGGCTAGGACCATTACGTCTTCTTTGATTTCACTAGATTTTTCTTGTGTAATGATCTTCACAATTTGTCCCTGTCTCTGCCGATGTTCTTGGTATTGTTAGTTAATTTGGACAACTCTCTTTGCAGGGACCTGGAGAGAGGGCAGCAGCTACACCTGCACCCCAACAGGCTGAGTAAGAAACTTGATTCATGTTCTGTTCCCGAGTCTATTTGACACAGGTATATAACTGAAAATCTCTTCCTTTTGATTTATGTAGGGGAGCGAAGAAAGCCAAGAAGTAATTGGTGAACCGAAATCGTACATGTCAAATGCTTTTGATTTTGTTAGTTGCAGTTTGATGCTTTTGATTTTGTTAGTTGCAGTTTGTTACGTAAACTTGTTTCGCTTCTATGAGAAATTTTTTGTTATAAAGGACATAATTTTGGAACATTCTAAGCTGTAGTTTCTTTGATTACACTTAATGGTGAATGTTTGTTTGTTACATCCATTGATTACTGGATTATGAGTTGATGTTGCATTTGAAGATGAATGGTGATGTTTGCTTGCTACATCCAATGATGGCCTTAACTAAACAAAGGTACGAAACAGTAAGGTTATGAAGTTTATGGAGAATAAATTTTTCTTTTGGCCAACCCTAAGTGCTCGAAAATTCGATGGTAGCTGGGTCCTTGATGTTTCCACAGGGTACATGGGGTAGAACTAATTATCGAATTCTTTGTGCAAAATTCAAAAGAGTTGTGCTCTCAGAACACGGTGATAGCAACCCTCAATTCCCTTTGAAATATGAACTCTACAGGTTTTATACGTACAGTCTTTGTTGAATTTATAACTTGTTTTGCTTTGGTCAATTCAAGTACAGAAGTATAATCTATATTTAGTAAATGCGTGTGTTTAGTGTGCTTTTAATTACTCACAAGGTTCTGAATTTGACATCTAATTGTAATTGAATATAATTTCTAGAGGCAATTACATGAAGATCTTTGCAGTTTGCAACAGCTGTTAAATTTTACAGTCTAATCTTATAAATAACCCATGCTTGTCGTGACTCGGTAGTATGGATTGGAATAAGATGAATTATGGAGCATGAAATTAGATTATGATTTTTAGTATATTATATGTGTTTGATAAATCATTTTCACTATATTTATGACATTATTAGTTAATAATGTTTGGATTATATATATATGTATGTATATTCATATCTTATTAATAATTTAAAAATTATTTTTAAATAAAAACAAATAATTAAAAGTATCAATTGGTCCAAACATGATTTATATTTAATTTAAGAAATTGATACCATAATTGTGTCCAATTCAATCTAGCATCGATTGAACACTTTCTAATTCATTAATAGGAACGTGTCAATTAAGAAATCCACATTTGGTTAATTTCAACTTCATTTCTTAAATTAGCTTTAAATACACATAATTAGAAAATTATTATTCTGTTTTATTTTTCAATATTTCTTTAATTTTTATAATAATTAAATTTTAATCTCTAATTTTTTTACTTAATTAGAAAAAGAACCATAATACGTGCCTGTAACCCGGCTGGCTATCTGTGTTGAGTTGCGTGATTTACTGAAATACCATTCTGTCTCTTGTCGTTTATTGACTTTTCTCTCTCTCCTACTTTTCTCCACCCACCAAATCAACCCCGAAAGGTCAAAACGTCTTCGTTTTATGCTTTTAATAATTAATTTACTCCCTATAATAATAAAACTTTTTTAAAAAATGATTAAATTACTCAATAATAATTATAATTTGCATAATAATTTTTATAATCATTTTTTTTTTTAAAAGACATTAGATAATTTGTA